GCAAGTATGCTGAAATTGAGAACAGCAGCATAATGGCAAGTGTGATATTTCTTTATATTCAACAATACAGTAAAGAGATGAATGAGTAATTTAGATTGTAGACAAAATACTACCAGTTATTTTGGCTATTTTTACTTCATCAGCAAAATAAAAATTCCAGACAAAGCCCACACAAAATCAAGTCAGAATCAGCATTTTTGAAGGAATTGGTTGAGTGAATGATTCAGTGACTCACTCATAAAGACAAAGTCATTTGTTCTCACCTTCTGGCATAACAATATGCAGAGTCACTAAAAAAATCCCGACAGCCCATCTGGATCTCCGCTCGGACAGTCAAATTCGAAAACCAGAACTATATATTACAAATATATATATTTTTGGTAAAACATTACATAAAATTAAAAAGTTGCATATGTTAATATTATTTAATGGACCTGAGCTAACATGAACTAACAATGAATAGTTGCATTTTTATTAACTAATAAATTAAGATGAATAAATACTGCAACAAATGTATTGGTCTTTATGCTAGCTAATGCATTAACTAAGATTAACTAACGAGACTTATTGTAGAGTGTTGCTACATATTTTAATGAATTTTTGCATGTTAATACAGTACATTAAATGATGCTTGTCCAATGATCATTGCTTCTACAACAGAAGTTATATCTGCAGGCGTCTTGTTTGTTCCAAACCTTCCAAAACAATAAAAGTTATAGGTTCTGACAGATACTGTATATAACACCAAATAGGCTACATATCTTGAAAACTCAACTATTATAGTTCTCACAAAAATAGAGATCTACAGACTATGCATATTAGAAATGTTACTCACAGCAGGTGGTTTGAGGATAGACAGTAATTGTTTTGAAATGCATTGTTGAAGGTGGTGTATTTGTTAGAGAAGTATTGTTTTGGTGGCTACAGTAGCAGACTTTGAAAGGAATGAATTCAGAGTTTTATCATGCGAACACGTTTTTGAATTCGACTGCGCTGATTTTCTGTGTAGACGTTTTTCCATTGCTCTTGTGTCTCACATGAACAGTGTTCGAGTTAAAAGAAGTTGAACTTGTTAATTTAAAAATATATATATTTTACATTTTTAAATAATTTTTAAATTCCACTGCCCTTCATCTCATGTTTTTAAACTCAAAAATGTGTTCAGTGTGAATAGCCCCTAAGACTTGGAGAGGCAGGGAGCGTGTTGGACTAGTTATGTTTAGCCTTGTGAAATCTACGCAGTGTTCAACAGTGAGAGAAGCATCATTTCTGCAGTCTCTGTGCTTGTGGAGTGAAGACATCATCCTGATGAGAGCCGACAGGAAGAGGTGAACGAGAAGAGAACACAGACTAACGAGAGAGAGAGAGCGAGCTGGAAAGGAGGTACCGTGAAAGGGCAGATCTCCACCTATTGCCGTTTTTTTTGTTCTGTCTGTTTGTCATAAAGATGAAAGGGTTTAAACTTCAGACAGATATCAAAGCCTGTCAATACATACACACATATCGCTGCAACTCTAATAAAGACATCACCTGTGAGACAAAAACTTCAAGAGAGAGTGTGTGAGTTACATCAGCCCTGCTAACATATGCTAATATGCTGATATACAGATGGTACGGGATGACGTGGAAAGGTCAGATCCAGTATCACGTCCGCATTAATTCAGAAGACATGAGCTGTGACTGGATGAAGTTCAGACTTCTTGTAAGCAAGAACTTGTTTTGACAGTGTAGCCTAAACATGAATATAAATCATATAGAAACATGCCAAAATGGATTCTATATGGATCAAATATGTGACCCTGGATCACAAAACCAGTCATACGGGTCAATTTTTCAAAATTGATATTTATACATCATCTGAAAGATGAATAAATAAGCTTTCCATTGATGTATGGTTTGTTAGGATATGACAATATTTGGCCGAGATACAACTATTTGAAAATCTGAAATCTGAGGGTGCAAAAAAATCCAAATATTGAGAAAATCACCTTTAAAGTTGTCCAAATGAAGTTCTTATATTACTGATCAAAAATTAAGTTTTAATATATTTAAAGTAGGAAATTTACAAAATATCTTCGTGGAACATGATCTTTACTTAATATACTAATGATTTTTGGCATAAAAGAAAAATCAATAATTTTGACCCATACAATGTATTTTTGGCTATTGCTACATATATACCCCAGTGACTTAAGACTGGTTTTGTGCTCCAGGGTCACATATGGATTCTCTTACAAAAATGTTTCTACAAAAAAAAATTTTTTCTCTAGAGCTATTGTTACAATTGTAGATTCTTATTAAATCCATTTGGGATTCTCAATCAGTTTCCAACTTCCACAGTCTACATGTGGAGTGGCAATATGGTCCAATGTCAACATAGTTTTTATTAATTTATCTAGTTTTCTGTCATATATTTGCGTAACGTAAATTGTAAAAATGATAGTTGCTTGCATATTCTGCCCACTACACCTACTGTATGATATTGATACTAGCAAATTGCTACTACTGTATTTTACACAGGTACATTTATGTTTGCAAGCATTAATTTAGGACTGAGCGAAACAAAGCACTAAATTGTAATTATCAAAATTACACAATTTAATAGTAAATTAAATGTAAGTGTAATGAGGGTGAGGCGGAAGCCGAGGAAGAATCCATATGCGGATGTTTATTGAAGCAGTCCAACAAAACCAAACTCAGGGTCAGTAAAAACAGGCAATGAGGTCAAAAACACAGTAAGGCAGTCCAACCAGGCAAACAGGCAAAAGGGGTAATCCAAAAGAGAAGTCAAAACAAACAGATAAACAGGTCATACACGTGGTAAGAAGGCAGAGATACAAACGCTTGGTAAGGCAGGATAAACGGGCAATACTTCGCAAAGCAGTCATGTGGTGACCAGGTTAATATGGCCACTAAACAGGAAGTGGTTGCAGAGAAAGCAGAGGGAGTGCTAACAGTCAATACTCGGGCGAGGGCTCCCTCTGCTGGCTTGGTGTTACAGAACGTCAATGATTTGGCTGTGGACGCAATCTTTTGGCAAGATGAAGGAATTCATTTTGGGTTGCCCCATAGTTCACACAAAAATGAAAATAACCCCATGATTTACTTACCCTCTAATCATCCTAGGTGTATATGACTTTCGTCTTTAAGATGAATGCTACTTTAGTTATATTAGTTATATTAAAAAATGTCCTGTCTCTTCCAAGCTTTATAATGGCAGTGAATGGTGGTTGAGATTTTGAAGTCCAAAAAAGTGCATCCATCCATCATAAAAAGTGCTCTACACGACTCCGGGTGGTTAATAAAGGCCTGAAGCGAAGCATTTGTGTAAGAAAAATATCCACATTTAAAACTTTATAAACCGTAAACTCTAGCTTCCTCTAACTGTTGTACGATCATTCACGAGAGAGTGGCGCTCCAGCGGATGGCGTAGATGTAGCATAAGCTCCGGTGAGAAGTGACGAATGCAGAAACGCAGTGGAGAGAGTAAAACAAAACACCAGTCACTAATTAATTAGAAGTACAAAATGAGGATTTGTAAAGACAGATACAAGTCATATAGACCTAGGATGGCTTGAGGGTGATTAATTATGGGGTACTTTTCATTTTTGGGTGAAATATCCCTTTATTATGCTGCCAGAATTCTGACTAGAACCAGAAAATCTGAGCATATTACACCAGTCCTCAGGTCCTTACACTGGCTTCCAGTTATATTTAGGATTGATTTTAAAGTACTTTTACTCGTTTATAATTAAATCACTCAATGGCCTAGGACCTAAGTACATAGCAGATATGTTCACTGAATATAAACCTAACAGACCACTCAGATCATTAGGATTGAGTCAGTTATAAATACCAAGGGTTCACACAAAACAAGGGGTCCGCTGAAGTCCGCTTTTAGTTATTATGCCGCCCGCAGTTGGAATCAGCTTCCAGAAGAGATCAGATGTGCTAAAACATTAGTCACATTTAAATGCAGACTCAAAACTCATCTGTTTAGCTGTGCATTTACTGAATGAGCACTGTGCAATGTCTGAACTGATTGCACTATATTTTATGTATAATCATTTTCTATTCTTAACTGTTTTAACTGTTTCATTTTAAACCTCTTAAATCAATTTTTAAATAATTTTCAAAATTTTAAATTCCTTGTCTTACTGTTGTGATTATTTTTTTATGTAAAGCACTTTGAATTACCATTGTGTATGAAATGTGCTATATAAATAAACTTGCCTTGCCTTGCCTTTAAATGCTTGAACTGGGCAAAACAGCAGAAGTGTGGAAAGTGCATAGAATGTACAACTCATTATTGCAGTGCATTATGGGATCGACCACTACACCACTACAAATGGGGCAAGTCCCAATACCCACACTTTTGAGCATAAAAGTACATAAAAGGAAGTACTGTAAGTGCACAAATAGGTCTTTTCATAACCATAGGCCTATGGTTTTCTCCTCAAATAGTGCACTACATAAGGGTATACAGCCTATGACTTGATTTACAAAATTTGATTTGCATGTATGACAAGATACAAACATATAAACATGCATACAAAATGTGTGAACTGATCCGCTATCTTCTAATGTGGGTTGCATCTCTCAGATCTTGTCAGGTGTCAACGTATATGTAAAAAGATTATGAATTTGAAAGACAACCTTTAGTTTTAACTTTAAGGGGGTTCAAACCTTAATTAACACCCCGTCCCCCATAATTCACACCATGCTCACAAATTATTAAACAGCTCTATGCTAGCTTTTAAATCTGAACTGCAGAAACTGACTGCTGATTTTCTCAAAATCAGTTGTGAAGGGAACAAATGGTGTATTAAAGGACACACACACAATAAAATGATACAAAAATGAATATTTAGGGTGCAAACCCACTTTGCATTCATAGATTTAATTTTTTTAAACGTCTTTAAAAAAAAAGAATTTCTTAAAAAAAAAAAAAATTGAAATTAAAATACATATTGCAGGCATAGGTGACTAGTTGAGCTGTTTTCATCCATTCACACGCCTCTTTTGCCTCTTGTTCATACATGTGCAGCGGCTACGGCCCACACAGACAACAACACCGACGACAACAACAAATTCAAACACGCAAGGAGCCGGTCCTATTCTGAGCAAATGCTTGCCACGAAATCTTTGGCCGCAGATAAAATCATTCAGTGTTGCATATTTTGTTATCATTTATTCTGTAGATGGAATATATTGTATTTGTATCTGGTCTCTAATGAGTCCAGGTGAACTGAACACTGCAGGTCTGTTAGGGGATGTCCGGATGAGTTCAGCGGAGTTTGGGAGGGATTCGCCCCTCACAACCTCTCAATGTCTCTGTATTTCTTGCGTAGGATAGAGACCTGGTCTTTGAAGAGGATGGGATCCAGACGCAACTGAGAGTGAAGGAGAGGCATGAAGCCAAACCAGCTCGTGAAAGAGTTCATGCAGGACTGACGCTGTGCAAAGTGGTCTGGGTCGGCCCATCGAGACGCCTTAGAGCCCTGAGAGAGAGAGAGAGAGAGAGAGAGAGAGAGAGGTCTGTGTATGGTTCACCAGGCAGATTATGAACGAAAGCAGGAGCATGTTTCTGGAATTGGGCTGGAATTGGGCAGCACTTTAGAAGACACTGACAAACAGAGCGAACACGGAGTGTTCATTTCACGACTCAGAGAACAGACGACAGTTATGGCCTTACATTTATGAGAAACGCTGTGGAAGGATGTCTAGCTGCTTGTTAAAGAAGCTTACAATGTGCTAATACAGACCAATCCCTTGGACATGCACAGGAACACAGAAAGACATTTTGTAACGTTCATGGATTCTGTTTCATTATAGAATTTTAGAGAAATTGAGAAATCACACAGTAAAATGTGACCAATCTGAGATTCTAATCAGCTAATTGACCCTTCGCAAAGACCTGCCCCCTTTCATTACTGTTGGTACGTCCGACAAGCCATGTCGCTCTCACACCACACATCATGTTCTCATGCAGTGAAAAATATTTTGCGGAGCAACGCACCAACAGACAAGACAGAGCAGCTTACTTTTGGTATGAAAAAAGGGTCAGCTTTCTGTTTTAAATAACGTTTTGAGGCTCTTTAATGAGGCGTGACAGATTGCTGTTCATGAACCAATCATCTCATCCTCTTTACTAGTTATAGTGCAAAATAAACATGAATGAACATCAGAGGGTATCTTGTTTCAACCATGGAAAGATGTCAATAAATGCCATTTTTCAACATTTCGACATTAATCCACTCTCCTTTGTGGTTTGTTTGTCAGACAAAATGTCAGATTCAGCGTTATGATTGGTCAGATCGCCTGTCAATCAAACTCCCGGCGAAGGGTCAATTAGAGTCTCAGCTAATTTAGCTTCTACCCAGCAAACAAAAATATGTTCTAAGAACATTTTGCTATCGTTCCCAATTAAGGTATGAAAATGTTATTTCTGAATAATCTCAGAACATACAAAACATTCAGTTTTTTTAAATGTTTCAAAAATGTTTAATTTTCTTGGTTAGGTGAACGTTAGAGAAAAACATTAAGGGAATGTTCAATTTTATAATTTTGCAGACATTATGGGAATGTTACTGTTGAATGTTCTCTCAAAAAAAGTGATAAGCAATAATGTTTAAAAAAAGACAAAATCCATAGACAAAAATCTGTGTTTTGATAAGGCTATTAAAGATGAGAAATTTCACAGAAAGTACTAAATTATAAGGAAATATAGAGTAAAACTGTATACATGACCAGTACTGTTCAACTATACTGAACATTTTTAATACTTTGAAACAGTATCTTCTTAAACTTCTGTAACTACTTAAACATAATTAAACTACTGTGAAGATGTATATTTAAAAAACTAGTGAGCTAGCCTATGCTACAAGCTAATAACAAAAAGTAGCTATACATTGTACCTACAGTATTTAAGGGGGTAACAGCTTATTTTTAAAATCAGAGCAGTACATTTCTGCCACAAAACAGATTCAGTAATGAATGGCTGACAACGTTAAATTTAATAATGTGACAAAAAATATGTAGTTATGTTTTGTAGTTCTCCTTGTTGGATATAATATAATATAATATAATATAATATAATATAATATAATATAATATAATATAATATAATATAATATAATATAATATAATATAATATAATATAATAATATATGATTCCTTATGATTCCCACTCTTATTACTCACTAATCAGCATCCATTAGACTCATACAGATGAGATACTATTGGAAATAAAGTTAGAATGTACCAAAAGAGAATTGAGACAGACAGAGAGAAGGATAGTACTGCAACCTTGCTGTCAATCATTAATCTCGCCTTACCATGAAGACATTCATCAAACAGGCCAATACTGCTGAATCAGATCCACACACACTCACAGCCCTGGGGCCCTCCATCCATCACACACCACACAGACATTTCTGACCCCAACAGGGAATCACTCTGGATACACACTCGTCTATTTACAACCCATACACACACAGACTCATACCTGCTGCATCATGGTCTCCTTGTACTGTTTTTTCTGTGTGACTTTGATTGGCGGGAGTTTGGTTACTGCGGAGATGAGGAAATTCATGAGGATGTCCTCACAGTTGGCCAACTGGTCCACCGTTGACAGCAGAGACGTCGGCAGGTAGTATGTGTACAGGTGATGATAATCCCTGGAGCACAAAAGCAGTCTTAAGTCGGTCCAGACGCTACATAGCAATAGCCAAAAATACATTGTATGGGTCAAAATTATCGATTTTTCTTTTATGCCAAAAAACACTAGGATATTAAGTAAAGATCATGTTCCATGAAGATATTTTGTAAATTCCTGAACATAAATATATCAAAACGTAATTTTTGATTAGAAATATGCATTGCTAAGGACTTCATTTGGACAACTTTAAAGGCAATTTTCTTACTACAGTATTTTGATTTTTTTTTTGCACCCTCGGATTCCAGATTTTCAAATAGCTGTATCTCGGCCAAATATTGTCCTAACAAACCATACATCAATGGAAAGCTTATTTATTCAGCTTTCAGATGATGTATGAATCTCAATTTTGAAAAATTGACCATTATGACTGGTTTTGTGGTCCAGGGTCACAAATGAAGATTTCTGTACCTCTATTGAAAGTCCATTACACCAAAACTTTTAAATACATACAGGTTTGGAACAACATGATGTTGAGTAAATGATTACAGAATTGAATTTTTGGGTGAACTATCCCTTTAACAATTTATTCTGTTAGGAGCAGGGCTGCATTAACCATTGGGCTAGGCGGGGCTGAAGCCCCGGGGCCCGAGCAAGGAGGGGGCCCGTGATTGGCTGTGGAGTAGCTTGACGGACATCGGAAGCGCCGATCGCCAAAGCCCCACCACGCCCCTCACTTTTTAGCGCTATTACTTAGTGGAGTTTTTCCCGTAAATTCCATGTATTAGCATTAGAGATTAAAACGTCACATTTGAATTTGGTTTACCAATCAAATGCATTTATTATATATTTTACTTTTGAACAAACTGTGCACGTAGCCTATCAATCAGGTGATCGCTGCGCCATGTCTGCATTTACCTCTCTTCACTTCATTCTGGTGTAATCTAGAAATGGTCATGCAAAGAACAAGAACGATTTTAGAGTCACTAAAATCCACAGCTAGTTTATTTCACTAAAGCTGATGATGGAGTGGGAGTTGTGGAACCGCAAAATGGACCGGACCCATGGAGCAGATAAAATCACAGCGTCATCATCCCCACAGATTTTAATTTAGTTTGATTATTAACTTGATAGATGTTGTTTTTTGGGTTTGAACAAACTCTATAGGCCTAGTATATTCGCTTATGGGTTGAGAAATTCATTTTGCGCGTCATGATGTAAGCTTCATTTAAACGCATTTTAAGCATTTTGTTTTAAAAACTAATTTAACTGTTCAGGGACATTAAGCAGTGGGGCAGAATTCATTTTGGCAAATGCGCGTGTTAAGACGGTTTCTGATAAGCGCGGAGCGCACTTGCTCGTACAGCGCCTGACTAAACGAAGAGTTATTTTTCGCGCCTTGTGGTGTTTAAACGTTCGAATACAGTTATGTGTCAAAATGCCGTTGCTATTTGTGTCAATAATGTAAATTAAACATTAGAAAGAAAATCACTCACTGTCCTTGACCAAATCGCTTTTGTGAAATAATGTATATTGAATTTATGCAGTGAAGAATATTCAGTCTATTTGTAGTCTATTTATTTTATACAATATAATATTTCTTATTCGGTGCTTTAAGTGTTTGTAGGTCAATTTCTTTGTTCTATTGTAATTCATGACTGTTTACTTGTCTTCAGTAAGTTTGTTTTTACTAGTATTTATT